ATGAGTTGCAATGACTTAATTCTTTTGATGAAGCAGTGGCAGAACCAGGAATAGATGTAAATTCACTGTTGGCAAGGGCCACCAGCTGGCATTGCTGCAACTTGGAGCAGAAAGATGGTGTTCTAGCTCTGTGCCAATCTCCTGTGCCTCTTGTTTTCCAGTTCCATTGCCCAGCAGAGTCACCTGCCAGAGAAAAATGTCACCTTACTCATTTTTTTCCTGCAGTGCTGTCTTGATGCAGGTCACAAATGAGTCCTATGCTGTTAAAGCAGAAGTGGAATAGCTGTCAGCAAGGGCAGGATCTCGCTATGGACCAAGCGTGCTTGAGTTTTCAAGGGAGTTGGGGTCTTCTAGCTCATCTTACTCTACTTGTGGAAGTGGTCACAAAGTTTGTGTCCTAGTGAGAGTTTTGTTTTGCTGGTGCTCTCCTAGTTTGTGTATTCTGTCTGTGCTGATGGTTCTGTGCACTTTGTAGGGGAATCCATTCCCATCAGACTCTTTCTGGCTGGCTATGAGCTGACTCCAACGATGAGGGACATCAATAAGAAGTTCTCGGTACGTTATTACCTCAATCTGGTGCTGATCGATGAGGAAGAGAGACGTTACTTTAAACAGCAGGTAAGAAACAGAGCTGTTAGTTCTTGGACCTGTAGACTGTTGCTTGGGGAACCATGTCATAAGGACCTTCTGGGAATTTTGGATTCGGGGAGAATCATGTTCTTGCCTGAGAATCTGTAAGGACTAGATGAGTTAGAGTGTGCAAAGAGGGTCTAAAGGGAATGGTCCACGCAGGTCAGATGTGTGTGGTGGTAGGGATGCACGTAGAAGGTGCCCGCCTGGGATGACTTTTCCTCTGTTGCCCTGTGGTGGAGCTTCTGTGCTTCACCTTATCACAGTTCCAATGTGGTAGCCAATGGCAATAGGACAGAGTTGCCCTTGACGTCCAGTGGGTTGCTTCTGTGTGCTTAGATCCTGGGGAGGAGTGCTCTACCCAAATTTTCAGGAAGGCTGCATTGCGAGGCCTCTGCTTGCCACTGCAAGTGGCCTCATGTACCTGGCTGCGGGCGGAACAACGTGCCAGCATGGGCTGAGTTCTCACTGGGTGCAAGCTGCTCGCCTGGCAGCTTGGTGCAGCCTTTGGGTCTGGGTGGGGCCAGGAGAAGGTCTCACAAGCCCTGACAAGCCCTGCTGGCTGTGTTACTACAGGAGGTGGTGCTTTGGCGGAAAGGAGACATAGTGAGGAAGAGCATGTCCCACCAAGCAGCCATCGCCTCCCAGCGGTTTGAGGGGACATCCTCACACACCGAGGCCAAGACCCCCAGCCAGCCTGCAGAGAACAACGGCCGGCAGTGAGAGGCCAGGCAGAGGAAGGCTGCTGTGGAGCCAGTGGGGACACAGCAGCAAGGAGGAAGAAAAAAAAACCACTTCAGAGACTTCATGAAAATAAATATCCGGTTTTGACTTAATTCCTTTCTTCAAAGGACTCGTAGGGTGGGAAGGGGATGGGAGGGCAAGGCAAGCTGGAGCACTGGTGGTGCGGAGTCGAAGGTACCTCGGTGCTTCCCAACCAACTACATTCCTCTGGGGTCGGCTGCTTTGAGGCACGTGTGCGGAGGCTGCGGAGCTGCCTGATCTCCTCTCTGCCCCCAGACCCTTTCAGTGTGGCAGCGGGGAGGGAGAGAGCAAGCCAAGGCCAAACCTGCTGCTTCTTCCCAGCGGTGTGGAGGTTGCTTTGGGGCTGTGTAGGATGGATGTTTTTCTCGCCTTTCTGAAATCTTCACGGGGGAAAATGACACAGTGATTAGCTGGAAGGTAGAGGAGGGAGTCGGAGACTGAGGTGCGGCCTGCTTGAAATTGCTCAGCGTTATCCCCTCGCTGCCTCCCCTTCCTCCTCGTGCTGGCATCGGATTCCTTGTCACAAACAGTTATCTAATGTAGTTGAGTCAGCCCTGGGACTGCCACGCAGCCACGCGGAGCAGGGCAGCCGGCGTGCTGCGCCGTCCTCGCCGTGGAGCTCCCGACGGCCGTGTGGCGTCAAGGGGGAGCTGTGGCAGGCTGGAGGGAGCGGGGCAGGCGAATGCAGTAGGAGGTGGCACAGGCTGGGCAGAGCGGTGAAGGTCCCAGTGCTGCTGGGTGGGCACTGAAGAAGGAGGCAGGAAGGCTCCTGGCCGAGAGCAGTGCCTTCCTAGTCTCGTCCCAGCAGCAGCCTGAATGCCCCTGCCATTCGGTCTCTCTGGTTGTTGCACTCATACAGGTCCCAGTTGCTGCTGCAGAGCAGGGGCAGACCAGCCTTGAGAAGTCTAGAGAATAGTTTCAGAAAGTGAGAAGTAAATAGGGCGCTCTTGGGAGCAGGCTTATGCTGCACATGCTGCCCTGCTTGTGTGTCTGTCCTTGTGACAGAGCAGGCTTTGTAGCAGGGACAGGCAGCAGTATAGAAACACGTGTGTATTGTTTTGTTTGCTCCCTCACGCCTGCGGGATGAGGATTAGTAAGGACAGAAAGTGGACGCAATTGTTTTAAGAAGCTTGTGGCCTGTGAGTGCTGCTAGATGAAGCCAAGCAGCAACTGGAAGGATGTTAGAGCTCTCTGATTCCAGGGACACATTCCTGAGGCCTGAGCTGAAATCGCCAGTGAGGTCTGAGGGTATGCCATGAACTGAGAACCTGAATGTGGGGTTTTTCTTTTCTAAAATAAGCTGCTTCTAGTCTTCAGCTAAGTAGAATCATGAGAACGTTCCCAGAAGGGAATCACTCCTCCATTAAAAATTAGATGTGGCTTTGTAGATGTGATTGACTTGAGTCTGGAGAATATCCATCCTGTTTAGATGCCCTTCAAGGAAGCAGGTGGTTAGACCTCCTACCAGATGGAGAGACAAGCCTGTATTAAATGCTGGGATATGAGCTCTAGCAAGTGGGATTTGTCTGGATTTCCCTGCAAGTTTGTGGCTTGCTAGGGTTTTCCCCAGCTTCCTTTTGACTCCGGAATGAATCTCCTCTGCCTCTGTCCTACAGCTGAATGTAGAACAGTTGTCTTGCAGCTGGGAAATGGAAGTATCTTCTGCTTTGTTTAGTGGAACAGTGCTGGTGGAGGGAATGGGGCCTGGGTGGGAAGGGGAGCTTTTATGTACTACGACAGCTACTGTATTTCAGTGATAAATGTGTGTTTCTGCTTGCCAAAGTAAGTTATCTTTTACTCACCACGTGTAAGGTTGTGGTTTTTAGTAGAGCTGGACAGTCTCGCTCTGTTGTAGAGGACACTAATGATCTCATCTCTGCTGAATGCTCGTGTCACACCATGTTTCTGCTCTGTATTAGTGAAGACGTGGCTTGCTTTCCTTTACATGAGAAGTCTGTGCCACAGGCTGGCGCCGTGTCTTCCTAAGACTGAAGCAAAAGCTTACTTTAGACAACTACCTTGCTGTGCCAGGGCAAGGGGTGGTAACCTGCTGCAGGTCTCACATGGCAAAGGAATCTGGGTGTTGCTTTTGACACTCACCCTACTCCCCCCTCTGGGTAGGGGGAACCACCTCTGCTGTGGCAATACACAATCTTCTAGAGACAAGTGAAGTTCCCATTGGGAGCCCCTGGGGATAGCAGACTTACCTTTCCACGGCTGAGCACAGCAGCACCCTAACCGCCCTCTAGCTTTCCCTCAGCTCCCATCCCGCCTAGATTTCTTTTCCTTGCCTATTCCTCTTGATTGTAGGCCATGTGGTATTAAAAGAAACTCCATGGATGAAGATGTCTCTGCATTCCAGGAGTGTTGTGTTTACTGGCCGAACAGCATCAGTACTGGACATAAGATAATTGTTTGATAAGACAATGCACTGTAAGGAGATTTCCATTGAACATCTGTTCATCACTTCTGGAGGGATTACTTGGAAAAGGTGCATGAGACTATACGTTGGGTTGGTTTGTTTTGGGTTTTTTTTTTCCCTGCTTTGTGCCCCTCTCCTGCGTGTCCCTACTTGTGGAACCAGAATTTAGAAACTATCCCCATTTTTACTTAATCTAAATGGACCATTCAACCCGTTAGCCACTAGGCCCTCTGTTTGTCCGGGGTGGAGCAGATGTGCTGAGCCTCTTTAGAGAGAAGTTGAAGCATAAGATCACTCCAGGACAAGGTACTTTACAGAAGCGTTTCATTAGCATGGTAGAGGGCAGACACTACTGGAGCAGTCGTGTCCCCCTGAGCTGGGTGGTTCTGTTCACTACTTGGGTCATTCCCTCTCTCCCAGGCGGAGTCAGGCAAGGGGGGGGGAGTGTGCAAGTACTAAACCAAGCAGTGCAACCTGTAATTAAGCCTCTGCTGTGTTTACATTGTTTCTTAATTCGTCGTCTTTTCAATGGCTGTATTTTAAAACTTGGGTTTTTTGTCTCTCCAATTAAAAAGAGCCAGCCCTGGCTGTCAAATGCTGTGCATGAGTTTGTCTGCTATGGTTTATATTGCCTGGCCTGGGTCTGGTTTCATTTGGGTTTTTTCACGGTATTAAGACATTTTTCTTCAGTGCCATACTGTGCAGCCCTCCAAACATGCCTGAGGAGTTTGTCCTTTGTTATCTTTATAAATTCTTGATCTTTCTTTAAGCTATGTCACTGCTTAGAAGCTGTGCTGGCGGAGGACCCGTGTAAAAATTAGCAAGCTAGCTTTATTCTCCTCCATTTCCCTGACGTCAGTACTAAAATAACATGGGAAGTTCTGTACCTGCAGGAAGTTAACTGTGATCTGCTTTGCAGCAATCAGGCTGGACATGTATATACACCTAAATCTTCTTGTTCTAGACAGAAGCTTAGTGATACCTTTCCACAGAAAAATGTTCCTCTGCAGTATGTGGAACTGCACTGCGTCCTGTAGTAAACCTCCTCAAGGAGGATGTACCTGTTTCATCCTTCAAGAGATAAAATTGCAGATTTTTCCACAATTAAAAATGGGAGTAGCTGCAATTTGATTCTAAAAGGCTTTATTTAAAAATAAGCAAAAATAACAGTGTGTCAGAATAAGGGACATGTAGCTGCGAACCATGTGCGGGCACGTTCTTGTTGCTGCGATTGAGCAAGTAAACTTGAGAATTACGCTGGTTTAGGAGGAGGCATCAGCGGGCTGGGTAGAAGCTGTGCTGCTGTCAGTTTCTTAACGTGGCTTTTCCTCTTCCAGGCTCAAGACAAAATCAAATTCCTCTGCGTTGAAAAGGTAAGGAAGAAAAAGCCATCAGTGGAACTTCCAAGTTCTCTGAGTGAGGGCTGCCTCTCAGAGGGGATGGCACCGAATCCAGAGAAGAAAGTTCTTACCTTGTGTCAGTGGTTGGATGGAAAGACGTTGTCTTGTGAAGAGCATCATGTTCTTTAGGGGGCCTCCATCTGCTTTGTGTGCCAGGTGGTGAGCCTTGATTTCAGAAAGGGGGATGAAACGTTTTGTCATCCGCACAAACTGGACATCCACCTGGGAAGCAATGGGCAGCAAAGGAGCACCGTTGGAGAAGGACAATACAGCCTCCAGATGTCACAAAAGATCTTGGGGGGGGGGGGGTGTTAAGATTTTAAACTGAAGCAAATGACTGATCTTATCTTATAATGGTATGGTAGCTTTTCCTTGCTCAAGGCTAAAATAACTTCCAGATACTTCAGGCAGGTGATCTGTTCACATGAATCTTAGCACTGTGCACTAGCAACATACATTCATGTTGTCACAGACAATACAAAATTAATAAGTGGGATGCAGCCAGCCAGTGAACAGTCACTTCCCTATAATTTAGCGTGCCTCAGAACTACAGCTTTGTTTGCTATAGACTGAGAGTGCTACTAAAAGATGTTCCTTCTCTTTCTTAACCCAGAATTCTGCTGTGCACAGAGGTCAGCTCTGCATCCAAGTAAGATTTGAAAATTTAGGGAGGTATGTTTTGGCAGCCTTCTGGAAGAGACCAGTGAAAAGGTAGAGAAAACAATGAGGATTGGATTTTCTCTTGAGAGAGAAAAGGGTAGCCAGGCCAGGACAGAAGCTTAAGAAGATATGCAATATGATGGTAAGAGGCTTCTAACTTCACTCAGCTTGCACACAAGAGCTTGAAACAGCTGTATGTAGTTTACTACATTACCATGGACCATTTGGGGTTCTCTTTTCTGCTGGAGGAATCATAATGAGGATCCTTTTGATCAAACTGTGTGTGATCAGGGTATGCCTCCTTTACGATCTGAAGCAGAAGGGGAGAAGAATGTGAGACAAGCTCCCATCAGGTCAAAACTATTGTCAGCAAAGGGTATGAAACGCCCTTGAGAAAGCTGTGACTAGACACAAGGAGTAATGCTGGTGCAAAAATCAGCCTTGCTTTCCCTGAACTCCATTCTAATGGTGGGATATGTTTCCCTCCTTTACATTTCTTGGGTCGAAGCACTGCAGAACTGTACGACTCTCAGTGAAGCATCATCACCTCTTCAGACAGCAACGTGGAAGGAGCACACACAACAGAGGAAAACTGGGTAGATGAAGATAGTCTTTTTGTGACGAGCTCTCCTCTTAAAGAAAAAGCTTTTCTGTGCCCTAGGTTTTACACTACTGTCTGCAGGCTCGGCCAACTAGAATTTAGTGAATCAGATTTTCATCAGTTCGGAGCAACACCTAACTTGGCTGGAAGCACTCTGAAAAGTCAGCAGGATAACAGCGGTGTGGTTCCATTTCTCTGGGGAAAGATGCCAGAGTCCGCCCTGCTGTGATACGTACCATTGAGCTGAGGTGCCCTAGGCTCGTTCGCTGCTCTGACTGGACAACTTTTGCATTCCTTTGGTGCCGAGACAGAAGTAGGGCTCATGAGCTGTTTGATAACCCACCAATTATTACTTTTCCCCCTGTCCCGAAACACAGAACGAGAAAGAGGCACTCACCTTGACGATGCCAACAATGCCAGGCTCTTTACAGTTACTGTGGTAGAAGAAGGCCTGCTGCCCAAGCTTCATGGCTCTCAGGAAATTCCTTGCCTGTCAGGTGTAAACAAGAGACTTTGAGCAATCTGCATCACGCTCTCAGGATTTCATTATAAGCAGCTAGGAACAAGAACAACAGGAGAGGTGTATGTGCTTCAGAGCTGCTCAGATAAGGTTCCCTACAGTTGTTGTAAAGGTGTTTTGTGCTGCAATTAAATTTCAGAGCTGCTCAGATAAGGTTCCCTACAGTTGTAAAGGTGTTTTGTGCTGCAATTAAATGAAGTAAAAACAAGGCTCAAGAGAAAGATCCTGTTGGTTAGAAAGTGTGTGGGAATCTCAACAGCCACCCTCGTTCAGAGATAGCAGAAGGCTTAAGTCAGCTGTCAGCAAACAAGCAACAGAGCAGGTCATATAGAGGGGGGAAGCATATATAGCAGGGGAAGCACACGTGGATTTCCTTTGCAGAGAGGCCTGGAACAGAAAACTGTAGGCTGACAAGGCACAGTATTAGCAGAGACTTGCTAGAAGGCATCAAGGGAAATAAAGGCTGGCCTAAGCTAAAGACCACGCTAAAGAAAAACTGGATGATTTGACCCAGCCTGAAATTACCTTTGACCTAGAGGCAATTAAGCAGGAGTTTTGACTCCGGTCAAAACGCACCAGTAAAAACAGGCAGAGTGGCTCAAAAAAAAATCCTTCAGGCAAAGGGAACAAGTTATCTGTGGGGAGAGCCACCTTTTTTCTAGTGCTATTTCAGTGACTCCATCTGCGACATGTGCCCCTTACCTGGTAGTTTCTTACTCCATCCCAAAAGGTTGTCTGATTGGGCTGAGCTTTCAAGTCATCAATGCTGAACTGCCAAATGCAATGAAACACAGGTTAAGTTCAGGAGGTAGCCTGATCTTTATTGTGTCACTGTCTACATGGTGCCTAAACGTTTGTACCTAGTAGCTCCTTCAATTATAGTACAAACGTGACACAATTTTTTTGGTTCCCACAGGGGCTAAAGAAAAGCCTTCACAAAGGAGGAACACTGCCGCGGTGTAAAGGCAGAGTCAGAAACAGATGCTGCCCCTGCTATCAACAGCTAAGCACCCTGAGGACCCAATTTCCTCTCTTATTACAAGTATCAAACCCCAGGTCTGTCACCCTGGAAGAGAACAATATTATCTCTTTCTACGTCCAGGAAGACAAATGTTTTTTGAGAAGTAAAGATGCAATAGCGTTAATATTGCAAACAATCTGAATTGTCTGATCCTGTAACTCAGCATTCAGGCACTAATGTTCTGGGTAGTAGTGAAACTGCTTCTCTAATTTGTTGATTAAGGATGGGTGTCGGTGCTTACTTTCACATCCACTCCCTTCTCGAGCCTGCTCTCTGGCTCTGATTTCAGAAGCCAGTGACAATACGTTATCTTGCTTTCCTCCCCACCGGAGTCGGATTCTTTTGTCTTCTTCCAGTTCTTCCATCCTGACTTGGAACTCCCAGCTGGAGGTTTCGTGGACTTCTCCTCTTCCTCCTTATCTGAACTCCCCTCCTCAGTTTTGGCAATTTTAGCATCAGGCTCCTTTTTATCTTAAAAGCAACACCAAAAAAAGACCATTCAGATAAACCACATTTTGTTTCTGGTAAGGACTGGTGCTGAAACACTTTTAGTCATCCAAGCTAGTTTCACATGCTGGTATTCGACTGCAGCAGAAGTTTGGTGCACCCCAGATACTAGGTGTAAGGTAGCACGCACCAGTGTTTCCGCGTATTTCTAGTTTGCATCTGAAATAAGGACTTTTTTTTTTTTTTTGGAGTGTGCACAAACATAGTTTAATAGTCATAGTTAATCATTAAAAAGCCAGGACAGACCATGTTGCTCACATGAAGTGTAGTTGAATCTCTTTTTAATTAATTGCTGAGAAATCAACTGCAGGCAACAAAGTTGATTTAGGTGTGCCTGGTGAATAAGAGGAAAACTCAGCAGCACAACGAGCGATTTCAATTACTGCAGTAGCTGGAAACCTTAGATTAAGCCTCCACTGTGCTACCTGTTCAGAAGGGGTCTATAGCCCTGTTTGTCCAGGACCCAGACAGCAAAAAGCAACTAATAAGAAATGATTATAGGGTAAGAAGGTAGTTATTTGCCGGAGTTGATTAAGCAGATGAGTGGCACAGATGAGCCAATTGTGTAATTTTTTCGTCTTACACCTGAAACACCACATAATGTTGCCTCAAGTGCAAGGTTTTTGCTTTTTGTTCTTTTGCAGAAGGTACCACGTCAGCTTCCTGCCACTACACTGGGTATACTTTGGCTGACCAGCTCTTAACGCGTAGCACCTGAAAGCTCTTCATAAATGGGCATGAGTTACATTTCTTAACCACCTTGTGCTGAGAATACATTATTGTCCCTATCATGTGGCTAGCAGACTTGTCTCAGTCACACATGGATGCTCAGCCCATTTTTACAGAGGAAATGGTGTCTCTGTGACATGTGGCTTTGAAAGACAGACGGTTAAGATGACTGTCTGTAGTTTCACTATAGCTTGGAGCCTCAAGTGAGAGATGCTAAATTAGTTAGAATGTCAGCACAGACCTGCTACTGCTCCTTTGTCTCTCTTTCTGCTTGGGGAGAGGAGAAGGAAGAATTACTGCTTTTTCATGCAAGCTGAAAAAAGTAGAGATACCCGAGACAGAGAACAGTAAAAGCTGTAAAGTAAGCGCTGGGTAAATACATTCCCTTCCTTGAGCTCAGTTCTATTTCCTCTATCAGTGCAAATGCTGGCACTGGTAGAGGACCACACCCTCGGCGTGTTGGAGGAGGCAGGCGGGCCCTGCAGAGCAGAGCTCTGGTGGACACGAGCAGCAGGGCTGCTTTTCCAGAGCGGCGCAGCTGTCGGAGGAAAGTCCCGAAGGTGCTTGGCCTGTGCGCGGCCCCGCTGTGCCATGCAAGAGCTGTGCTTTCGGAGATAAGGGAACAGCTTGCCGCCAGAGCTCGGTCCAGCCTCGCACCAGGGGTGTCTGGCTCAGCTTGTTGCTCGCAGAGGTTATGGAAAGTCCCTGGGGAAAGGGAGCAAGCTGGTGGGTCCAACCCTTGCCCCCCTCTGCCAGCAGCCCGGGAGAAGTTATCTGGCTCTGCGCTGGCCTCCTTCTGCCAGAGCGGGTGGCATCAACTTTTCCACCTTCTACGCCAA